ATCACAAGTATGATGATGATCGGGTCAGTCGCACTGGTGCTCCTAAAAAAATGTTCAGTCGCACGCAGTAGTTTTCAGTCGCAAACGCCAAATGGTCGCACTGTAGAGCCCTGGTGTGTGTGTATGTGTGTGTGTGTGTGAGAGGGGAACAGGGTCACATCACAGGAGAGTGAACTGCCTGTCAGTGTTCATATTATATATATATAGAAAGCTGGTTACATTTTTAGTTGATAATATAATATTATAAAATTATTATAACTACTTTAAAAATACCACAAATAAACAAAGCTAGTAAAAAGTTTGTCGACAATATAATATTAAAGCTAAAATAAACCATACATTTAAAAATAAATAAAATAAATATCTGTAGCAAGTCAATTTTTTGGTTCAATACAAAAAAGGGATATTAACTAAATGAAAATAAATAAATTGCACAGTGTATGTTGCTTTATCAAGATTTACCGAGCATGTTTTAATTAAACAAAATCCATCCACATAAGTGCAGATTCCTGATCTGGTTCTGAATTTCCCATTCAACAAATATATGTCTGTATATCTATTTCTCCACCCTGGAGGAGTTACAGAACACAAAAAAGGGAGGAAACGAGGATACACTAATAAGGAATAAGGCAGTGAACAGGCCTCTGCCGCCGCTCTCATTTACATTGAGTTTCTCTGTCTGTTGAACAGCATCTCCCAAATGAATGAAATATATTTAAAGCCACTAAAAGTTCATTTTCAGGAACAAAAACTTTTAATCAGAGCCCCCAGACGTCTGACCAATTATTTTTCATAACTTTTCAAGTCATTTTTTTAACTCACAGAACAATATCTACACTGAAGATATTTCACTGAAGGTTGTTCAATTGGCTTAATTAAAATGAGCTAATGCAACAATTCTGAACTTAATTTTATTGCACTCAATCCACTTACATTTGCAAAACGAACGTCTGCTTAATCTGCACAACTGCATGAATAATTTTTGTCAGCATTAACTGATTTGTAGTTATAATAATAAACGCTGAACAATACCGTCTTCCGATTTATTCTTTTATTGTTTCGATGAATGCACACATCGCACACTGATACACAATAGCGAACTCTCGCGCTCATAAAAGAGATCTAACGAGAGATCTTAGAAGTAGCAGGAAGCTCCTTTTATAAATCATGTCCTTATGTTTCCCTTGAGCTCAACATGAGGCACCTGTGTGATCTGATTACTCTGCGGTGTCTAAGTCCAACGCCTCCTGAGACTCACATTATAATGCATTTATATTCATGAATAAAACATGGCCATTTTAATGCGCACTCCTGAAATAGCACTTCATTCTGCCCTTGATCCTGTGCTTAAACTCTCTTTAAACGAATGTTTAATTGATGCAGGACACGTCCCTTCGTTGCTCCTGGAACAATATTTATCATAGTCTGAAATCAATGACAGATCTAATTCTACATAAACAACTACAGTCAGACAGTTTTAGGCCCAAGCTAAGTTCAGAAGGACCTGCGTCAGCTGAGAAACTGCTATTGAGATGAAAGGACTGCAAACGCTAACCCAAACACTACTCTAATACCAGCGGTGACTGATGCATGTCCATGACACCTGCACGCACCAACGTTGGCTGTAAGCTGTCTAACATGCTTCCTTTACCTTTAAGTTTTAAAGTTGTCATGAAACTGAAGTTGCAACCAACTTTACTACTGTATTGAGACATATTTCCAAGTGAAACGGCTATGTAAACAAGAAAAGATTATGAGGTCTAAAAGATATATTACATTTCACTATAAGATAAAGTAATGTGCATTAAGAAAATATATAGGGTCAATACTGATTTTATACTGACTGTAACGTCAGAGATGTTGTGCTAACTGCTTGTAAGTTGTGCTCAAAGTTTGTCGTGCTTTCTGTTAGTTACACAATTAAACAGAAAAACTGTCAAAATTATCAGTACACAATCAACTAGTCATGAAAAGTACTGATTATAGCATTACATCTATTCCTGTTGCATTTGTATTTGTACTACTGTTCAAACGTTTTGAGTTAGTATGACTTAAAGAAATTAATACTTTTATTCAGCAAGGATGCATTAAATTGATCCAAAGTAACAGAGAAGACATTTATAATGTTACTGAAGATTTCTATTAAAAAAAAAATGCTGTTCTCTTGAACTTTTTATTAATCAAAGAAACATGAAAAAATGTTGGTTTCCACAGAAACATGAAGCAGCACACAACTGATAATAATAATGAGAAATGTTTCTTGAGCAGCAAATCAGCATATTAGACTGATTTCTGAGTGATCATGTGACACTGAAGACTGGAGTAATGATGCTGAAAATTCAGAGTTGCATCACAGGAATAAATTACATTTTGATATATATTCACATAGAAAATAGCTAGGCTATTTTAAATTGTAATACTATTTCACAATATTTCACAATACAGCCTGGAGCCAAACAGTAGAATTAGACTGATATAGATTTTTTATGACCAATACAGATACAGATTATTTGCAATAAAAAAAAAAAAAAAAAGCTTAATTATAAAGAAAAATATCAGTTAAAACCATTTATCGGTGGATCTGATATTATATAACTGATATCCAATTATGAAAAAAAGCTTAAATATTGGGAACAATATCAGTATAATCATTTATCGGTGGATCTGTTATTACAAAATTAATATCTGATAATGGAAAAATGCGTAAATATCGGTAAAATCTCAAAATAAGAGGCATTTTGAAATCAATATCGGATAACCGATATCTGATTATTGGAAAATGCTTAAATATAGGTAAAAATTCCAGTAAAACCAATTATCGGACGATCTCAAAATAACACATTTTGAAAACATAAATTCGTACCAACCCCAAATATATGAATGATAGAACACAATTTACTGGAAAAACAAACCTTTTATAAGATTATAAATGTTTTTCTGTCAGTTTTGATCAATATAATGCATCCTTTAAGAACAAGAGTATTAATATCGTTAAAAAAAAACTGAAAAGAAGCGTATGTAAACACTGATTATAATAGGTGCATTTTCAAGAGTTTTTAAAGTGCCCCTATTATGGATTTTTGAAACTTACCTTTCATGCAGTGTGTAACACAGCTCTAAGTTAAAACATATTGAAAACATCCTGCAAAGTTTTAAATCTGAAAGTGCACCATGTATAAAGTTATCGTCTCTCAAAAGAAAGAGTTGACTCTGAATCATTGAAACGAGTCGTTTTTAAAACGAATCCCAAGCCGTTTCATGTTGACGTCAACATGAAACATTAGCATATTGCCCACCCACTCGTTCGGTCTTTTCCGTTGGTCTGAATGAAAATGCAAATTCATTCTTTGCCACTAGGTGCTGCTTTTGGAGCGGTAAAAATAGCGGTTTCCCCAGTAACGCTGTACACAAACGCTGCTTTATCAGGCATTACAGGCAAGATGCAATGAAAATGAGACCAATCGGACCAATCACCGCAGATTAGCGTCACGCAAAGGAGGGGTTTAGAAAAATGAATTGTTGAACGAATCGTTTGGGAGTCGTTGAGCAAGGTAAAAATAAATGCATATTATAAGACAATAAAAGTGTTTTTTGACCTTGCATGCATGTCAACCTGTTGTTGGGGACTCCCAAAACCAAAATATGAACCTTTCTGTATGAAGATGTTCACAAGAAAATTTCCTCAGAGTGGTCCAGCAAATGTATATGCAGCCCTCAGGTATGGCACGTCTAACAACAACAGAAAAAAGGATACGAAAGTGTCTTTGAGCTCTTAATAACTTGTTCACTTGTCTCACAAGACAATCCCAATCCTTTTCCAACCCACTCACCCCTCTGGGGTCCATGTCTCATGAGAAGTCCTCCTGTGTATTCACTCTCCAGCTGATGTCATGACCAAGGACAATGTCACAGCCTATTAAAATTGTCCACACTGCTGGATCAGACTTCGTCTTCGCTTCATAAAAGAAGTAGGTGGAGAGGGAGAGATAGGGAGAGCAATCCCTTTATCCACACTGAAATGAAATTTAAACCCCTACTGTTTTATACCATGGAACGAACGTTAATGTGGATTCATTCTCTTTTGATTTTTCTCTTGTGTTTTAAATGAGATTACATGTCACAGCTTAAAAGTCTAGACAGAGGAATTTATATGGAGAAAGAGAATGTTCAGTGGTCACTTTGTATGTTAATTGGGATGTTTAATGGTTTGTTTCCTTAAAACTAAGCCATGTAACAGAAGATCTTGGTGATTTTTAAGAAAATGTTTGAACAGTTATGCTCTCTCAAGCAGAAATTCAAGAAAATGTATTGTCATCAACATAATACACATCAGTATCAAGACTACAGAAGAAAAGGGTCCTTGGTCAAAACTTTGGAAATGATGTACTCGTATAAATATTGCAGACAATATACACTACTGTTCAAATGTTAGGGGTCAGTAAGATTTATTTGTTTGTTTTTAAAGTAATTTTTACTTTTATTCAGCAAGTGACAGTAAAGACATTTATAATAAAAAAAAAATGCTGTTCTCTTGAACTTTTTATTAATCAAAGAAACATGAAAAAATGTTGGTTTCCACAGAAACATGAAGCAGCACACAACTGATAATAATAATGAGAAATGTTTCTTGAGCAGCAAATCAGCATATTAGACTGATTTCTGAGTGATCATGTGACACTGAAGACTGGAGTAATGATGCTGAAAATTCAGAGTTGCATCACAGGAATAAATTACATTTTGATATATATTCACATAGAAAATAGCTAGGCTATTTTAAATTGTAATACTATTTCACAATATTTCACAATACAGCCTGGAGCCAAACAGTAGAATTAGACTGATATAGATTTTTTATGACCAATACAGATACAGATTATTTGCAATAAAAAAAAAAAAAAAAAGCTTAATTATAAAGAAAAATATCAGTTAAAACCATTTATCGGTGGATCTGATATTATATAACTGATATCCAATTATGAAAAAAAGCTTAAATATTGGGAACAATATCAGTATAATCATTTATCGGTGGATCTGTTATTACAAAATTAATATCTGATAATGGAAAAATGCGTAAATATCGGTAAAATCTCAAAATAAGAGGCATTTTGAAATCAATATCGGATAACCGATATCTGATTATTGGAAAATGCTTAAATATAGGTAAAAATTCCAGTAAAACCAATTATCGGACGATCTCAAAATAACACATTTTGAAAACATAAATTCGTACCAACCCCAAATATATGAATGATAGAACACAATTTACTGGAAAAACAAACCTTTTATAAGATTATAAATGTTTTTCTGTCAGTTTTGATCAATATAATGCATCCTTTAAGAACAAGAGTATTAATATCGTTAAAAAAAAACTGAAAAGAAGCGTATGTAAACACTGATTATAATAGGTGCATTTTCAAGAGTTTTTAAAGTGCCCCTATTATGGATTTTTGAAACTTACCTTTCATGCAGTGTGTAACACAGCTCTAAGTTAAAACATATTGAAAACATCCTGCAAAGTTTTAAATCTGAAAGTGCACCATGTATAAAGTTATCGTCTCTCAAAAGAAAGAGTTGACTCTGAATCATTGAAACGAGTCGTTTTTAAAACGAATCCCAAGCCGTTTCATGTTGACGTCAACATGAAACATTAGCATATTGCCCACCCACTCGTTCGGTCTTTTCCGTTGGTCTGAATGAAAATGCAAATTCATTCTTTGCCACTAGGTGCTGCTTTTGGAGCGGTAAAAATAGCGGTTTCCCCGGTAATGCTGTAAACAAAGCAGCACTGCACTCACAAACACTGCTTTATCAGGCATCACAGGCATGATGAAAATGAGACCAATCTCATTGCAATGAGATTGGACCAATCGGACCAATCACCGCAGATTAGCGTCACGCAAAGGAGGGGTTTAGAAAAATGAATTGTTGAACGAATCGTTTGGGAGTCGTTGAGCAAGGTAAAAATAAATGCATATTATAAGACAATAAAAGTGTTTTTTGACCTTGCATGCATGTCAACCTGTTGTTGGGGACTCCCAAAACCAAAATATGAACCTTTCATTACCCATAATAGGGGCACTTTAAATGAAATAATAATTTATTAATTTTTTTATAATAATACGTCGTACCTAGGCACCCAGATGGTGCTGTTGACAGGAATGATGTTCAAGGCCTTCAGCTGCGCTGGTATGTGGCTTTGAGCCGCCAGTTCTGGATCTGTTGCGCTCCTGGATGGAAGTGCTTCCGCTGAAACCGGCTCGTCTGGCGGTCTGTCCGCCTCCTCGAAGTCCGTGGATAAAAGCATGCTGCTGGAGCTGGTCAGAGAGCTGAGGGCTCCCGAGCTGGAGCGCTCCACGTGAGGGAAATGGCCGATCTGATCCAGCTGCTCCGAGCTGAAGCCGGAGGACGTCATGGAGCAGTAATCCAGAGAGTCCTGCTGGCACAGGATCTGCGTTCCTGCGCCCTCGTGGTGCGTGACCGTTACCTTCAGTGGCTCCAGGGCGGCCGGAAGAGACTCTTCGTCGATGTCAGGATCAGGGGTCACAGGGGTCACGACCCCAGCCGGCCTCTGCACGGGGAAAACGTCCCGCAGCGGGTTGGCGTCGCTGCAGTTGTACGTAGCGCAGATCTGGTAGCTGGTGGCGTGATACATGAGGAGCGTGTTGGTGTGATCGTCCAGACACCAGACGGCCTCGTCGCTCCAGCAGCTGGCGGACGAGACCATACAGCGCACACAGGACGGCGGCAGATACGGCTCGAGGCGGCGGATGGGCTGGAGCGTCAGGCTGTCGATGACCAGCACGCCGGGGCCGTTGCTGTACCACACCTCTGACCCGGTGCACACCGGCACGATGCTGCGCACGGCATACGGACGCTGCCGAGGGTCCGAGTCCTCCATGTTCAGTAGATGCTTGTTGATCGTGTGCGAGCAGATGTAAGTCTCCCCCTCCACGGGCATGTCGTCCACCAGAGAGTAAACCACCACGAGACCGTCAGACATGCCAGCAAACACCTGCGGGAGAGACTGAAGCACAAGGGACGTAACGTAAATAAATGTTTGATATTACTGTTTATTATGTTATGTTACAATTTTTTCTTTAATACAATAATGCTTACTTAAAGGGTTAGTTCACCCAAAAATTCTCTCATTAATTACATACCCTCGTGTTGTTCGAAACCCGTAAGACCTTCGTTCATCTTCGGAACACAATTTAAGATATTTTTGATGAAATATGACGGCACAAAGAAAACAAAAATAACGACTTTATTCCACATTTTCTTCTCTACTGCGTCACTTGTGGACGCGCCGTCACG